TTAGTATCCAGATTTCACTTGATCGATACCTGCACTTGAGGGTAAGGGTGTGGGTGTGGGTGTGGGTGTTGATGAAGAAGAAACTCATACCTACACTCACACCCACACCCTTTCAGACAACGTCTTCGAGCTTCTTCCTCAACACGTTGTTGTTCTTCTTGCTGAGCGCCTCGATTTTCTTTCTGGCGCCATAATTCTTCTTGTTGTTCCCAACTAAAATCAAGACGTAAAAATTGGAAATCTGTTCGTCGTCACAACTCAAACAAAATCTCGAACATACTTATATCGATATTGATCATTAATAGTCATTAAGCGTCGATGTAGCCAATCTGATGCACTGGAAAAGTTCCGCATCAGGATGCAGATAAATGAATATATCGACTACGTTTATCATTTTCAAGCATAATTCGATCAATTTTGCACATCAGCAATTCTATCGATGGGAATAATGGTAAACGGAGCCGTGTCATAAAATTGTCGAAGAGTATCCTCAGAATTTTTCTGAAAATCTATAAGCAACATGATGAGATATTTGTCGCGCACTATATATAGATGGTCATGATGATTATTCTCATAAGTTGTGTTTAACAAAAGATTGCCCAAGTTTGTTAATGAGGCAATATCTGATTTACTCAATTGTTTCTGAATAAAAACATACAGCATCGGTGATAGTGACTGGGAAAGAGAAACGACGAATTGGACAAGATGGGTAACATATTGGAACACAAGACACAGAAAGAAACCCATCAATACACAGTTTTTTCTATTACTTTCTAGTTGAATAATTTTAGATTTTTATTGTAGATGGGTTACATGAATTTCGGCCCACGAATTTTTTGTCCCGGACTTTCGGCCCGGGCCGAAATTCCGGTGATTTTTCGGTCCGGGCCGAAAGTCCGAAAGGCATTTCGGACTAAAACTTAATTTATCTATTTAATTTTGAAAATAATTAGTAAACTTCATGGTGCTCAGCACTATGCACCTCCAATAAAACGTTGTGCTCAGCAGTATGACATGGTGCTCAGCAGTATGACATGGTGCTCTGCAGTATGATATGGTGCTTGGTAGTACGACATTGTGCTTGACAGTATGACATAGTGCCTAGCTAGACAGTCTAGTACCTAACACTATGCATATCGATAAAAAATTGGCAATTCGGATATTGATCGAAACATAGGTTAAGTATTCTGTTGTGGGAGCTGACGCAATATTTAAGAAATGGATATAGAACTCAGCAATACGAATTTAGATGACATGATAATTATAACATTCGGCTGTATCTGTGTACTTTTTCGTCTATTCTACTTAGGAGATAAATCACATCTTTTTGATATTGAATGAAATACATGTTTAGATAGTGATCACATTTAGCTGGCATGTGAACGCTCTATTCCAAATAGGGAGGAATCGGGAGGATTGCCATTGAAAATTTTTAGGAGGATCTAGCATGAAAAAGGAGGAAAATAGGAGGATTTCTGCATTCTCGTGGAAAATGTATTCTATGCAGCATTTTAAATTATCACGATGCTTTTTTATTATCTATACGACATACGATAGATTGTCACCCTTTATTTCCACAACATAAATCCTTGGTTTTACACAATGTACAAATGAATGAATGATAATTTTGCATCTTGATTCAGTCATCGCTTAACAGAAATATCATCTGAATTTATTTTTTTCAACCATGAAATATCAAATCGTGTTGCATGAAGAGGTATTTAACGAAAATGTAGTTATCTAATGATAGTTTTCTTGAAATGATTGCATGTAGTCCTCTAACAAAAAATGTATTTTTATTTTCAAAAAAAAGTTTTCCTTTAACTCGAGTTCTCAACAATTTCTCATTGTAATCGTCAGAACATGACCATATAGGAATGTGAAAAAATAATATACATATGACTGAATTGCAACTTTTTGCTACGTTTGAATTTTTAATTGTATTTTGTCAATATTTTTCGTTTTGGTGAACCGATTCAGACGAATTTTTATATGTTACTGGTCTTTGAGTGTCTCACTACCACGCAAAAATTTAGCTCTCTAGCTCCTACAGTTGCTGAGTTATGATGGTTACACTGTTAAAAACTCGCACCTTACATAGAGATATACTGAGAAAATCGAATTTTTTCAATAAAAGAGAAGAGTGAAAAAATATAATGAATAGATCTTTTTGTACTGCTAAGCACCATATCGTCTTGCTGAGTCCTATGTCGTACTGCCAAGCACCATATCATACTGCAGAGCACCATGTCATACTGCTGAGCATCATGTCATACT